GCCTGATGTAGGGGTGTGCATTCGATTTATCGATTCGATTTTGACCCTTATCGATAATTACTTATCCATTATCGATTTGTACATATGCTTATCGTTATCGTTTCAATAAGGTTTCAATTTTTTCGATTTCGATTTATCGATTTCTGGGGCTTATCGATTCGGTTATCGATTATACCAATAAGAAAATTTGCGGGATTCCACGGAAAGCATATCGCTATAAATATGTCTAACTAATATGGACAAAAAGAAGATAAAATAAGACGAACACCGTTTATAACATAAGACGAACGCCTAACTCAAGTTTGATTCAATTGATTGTTGCATGTACTCGAAGAAACCAGCGTTACTCTTGTACATTTTGAATACCATTCCAATTTGTCCATCATGCTCTATTGTGTTAACTACACTTGCAAAAGCGCCACCAACAATTCCAAACATAGCTGCCCAAGATCCATGAGAAGGAGAAGAATCTACAAATGTCGAGCCTATCGCTGTTACGCCTGTGAGGAAAGGACCAGAGATGGCTAAAAACTTGTTCAACTTCAAAGCCTTTTTCCCCATACTAATACAATCTTCTTGATCTTTTCTGCCTAATACTCCCATTATTTCTTATCGTTTTTTTTTTTGAAATGAAAAAATTTATATTTTTTTTTTTTTGAAATGAATTCTTATTGGTTTATCGATAAACCGATAACCGAAGAGTACAAAATCGAAATCGAAATCGATAACTCGATAAGGAAAATTTCGAAATCGAAATCGATAAATCGATAAACCGATAACAAATAATCGATTCGATTTATCGATAAACCGATTCGAATGCACACCCCAGTCTGATGTTACTAATCGCGATTACTTTAAAGAAGATGGTGGAACTTTCATTTCAGAAGGAATTTATGTGACTGGGAAATGGTAGAAGCTGCAGAAATTTATATAGAAGGTGCAGTCTGTCGTATTGGAGAGGAACAAGGAAGATGTTATTCAATGGACAATTTGCAATGAGGAGTTTACTCTGTTAGATCTTTTCATAGAGTACTGCAGAAACAAATGGAGGATTATGATACTTCACTCCGCACTTTCCGAGACAAGCACATTGGCCATGTCAAGTCAGCTATGTTGTGCGGACTCTCCAAAATAATGTCGCACCGGTGTCGGATTCTCCAAAAATACACTACTTTTGGAGGATCTAACACGCACCCGGCAATATTTTTGGAGAGTCCGAGCAACATAGAGTAGCAATGTTCTCGTAGTTTTACTCTTCTACTAGATAGCATTTTCTCACATTTTAGTGCATATATTATGGTTATCAACCAGCTGGATATCCACAAGGTCCTATTAGGATTTATGTGGTTTTTTGCATATGGGAAGTCCATAGCACACAAAAGAACTAAAAACAAGGAGCAACAATTTCAAGGACAGCCAACTCTATACGCAACTTGCTCCTCCAACTTAAAGATCCAACAGTGAATGCATTTATATCACAGCACTACCAACAAGCAATTAAAAAAACTTACAATGATTAGGTAAAATAAGCAAGAGCTCACAGAGAAGAGATGAAGACAATATAAACAAGTGTGGCTTAGCAAGGAGAAAGCTATCACTATCTGAAAACTTGATATGCATATATAACCATGTTGTGTTTAGGCCCATGTAGCTCAGTTCCAATTAAGAATGTCTTTGGCATCCAATATCCACTATGCTGGCATATAAAGCCAGAAGCAACGAATGTACAACACTCAACAAATGTTTTTCTCACTCATTGTCAAAAAAAGTTAGAATATCAAGGTCAATTAGTCATATAATGGTTAGCACAGAGGATTGGTGAGTACAAACGGTACATCAATCGCGACACACTTCCAATTTGCATTTTATCTCCAGTCTCCGCCAGTTCTAATGGTTCAATCATGCAAAGAAGACAAGATCATGCATGAAAAATTGCAGCTCTATTACCTCATCGCAACTTCCTTCCGTACAGTATAACGGATCTTTTTATCGAAACACCGTTCTTTCCTCTTTTCCCTAAAACGATTCAAAGAAGCAGCTCTTTGTGGTTGATTCAATCTTCCAGGAAAGTCAGCTGAAGCCTGTGGATATTGGGGCAGAAGAGCAATAACTGATTAAAACCCAGCAGAATGGTAAAAGAATGTATGCCGGAGATAAAGATGATACCCTCTGACTTTGGGCTGCCACACTAACAGTAGGGATTCCAGCAGGGACTTCATATCCCCCCAACAACAACAGCACCGCCTGAACCTGAAACTCAATAAACACAACCAAAAAAAAACAAATTTGCCCCAATTAAAATGATTGTAATTAACAACTTAAACCACTAAAGAGGAATTAAACTCCACTACCAGATGCAAATACTAAAATCATGCCGATGAGAATCACTCCTACTCCTAGAAGAACAAAAAGACCAGCACGGGTTCTTTGCTTCAAAAACTGACCAATATCAACCAATTCACCATACACGTAAAACCTAATCAATATCAAACCAATTCACCATTCACATACCACCTAATCTCAGAAACGACCAATTCCCGAGTCTTGAATCACCTCAACTCCAAAAGTCAAGTGAAAGTGAGGCAAGAACTTTCTGCCAAATACACAATTACCCTCAATTCAAAAATTGGAAACATTTCCCTAATTTACTAAATTTACCCAGAAGCAATGAACATGTAGACAACACACTCACTAAGACAAGCAAGATTCCAAGTAATGCACAAACAATTTCAAAAAGAAGAAGATAAGATCAAAGTAAAAGAAGCACTCTTTCAGCTAAACTCATAAAGAACACACTGCACAAATAAAGGGCAAACCTTTATAATAAGAACAAGAAAGTAAAAGAAGGACCTTTTCTGGAGAAACAGCATCAAAAACATAAACTTCGCCTTGAAACGACAGCGTAAGCTGATCGGAAGCTCCACTACCAGCAGCAACAGCAGCTTGAACTATTTCGGTATTAGGGGGACAATACAACGCGTTGTGTGAAACGCCTTCCACACCATTCATCTCCATGGACTCCCCGCCGTTGTGAAGCGCGTGAGAATGACTATGAGACTGGTGGTGATGGTCGTAGCGAATGTTAGGGTTGTTATCCATAGACTCTCTTCCTACATCGCCGCCGCCGCCGCCGCCTTCAGTTCCAGCGGCGACGTCGTCATCGTCGTCGTCGTCGATCTGAGTTTGCTGGTGGTGAAGTGCAGCGTTAATTGTCTCCCGTCCGTACATGTTAGCTCTGCGATTTGATTCTGCCATTTTCTGACGTCCTTTTATTTGTTTTTTCTAAAATAAAAATACTACTATAGTACAATATTACCCCGCGAGCACTGCCACTCTGCCAGCTATGAACCAACAAATCTAGGCTCCATAAACTTGAACCATATCCAAATAAACCCGAATCCTTATGCCCAAAAGACAGGGGTCCGACATAATTTCTATTTAAAGAAACAATTTGTATACTAAAACTCCCTCCTCTCCTATTAACATTCATAGTTACTAAAAATAATTGTTTTAAATTATTTATCCATTTAGAAGTTCAAAATAAAATTAATTATTTTTTTTACCGTTAATAATAACTAATCTTGAAGATGGAGATAACACAAAAATAGAATAATATTCAATAAAGAGAGATTATATTTTAAGACATAAATAAGGGTAGAATAGTCCAGTCCCTTTCCTAATTAATATTTCTTAAGGGGCGTGTAAAAGAGAAATACGACACATAATATGAGACTGAGAGAGTACTAACTTTCATTCAGTATTTGTGATTACTGGTTTGGTTATTTATGTTTGTATATACTGAATATTATATTAAAAAATTATTAGTTAAATAGTAAAATAAGTACTAAAATTTAATATTAAAGTGTTAGTGAAATAGTAAAAAATGATTTTAGAAGTGTTACAAGTGAAATACTCACATATTTTCAACTTTCACAAATAATAAACTACACAATTGGAGAGCATTTTGCAGTAAAATTAACTCAAATCTTACCACAAATATCTTAATCTATAGAATAAATGTGACATATGCATAATTGTGAAAAAATAATTTACTCAATTGGTAACTACAACATCAGTTCCAGTTTGAGTGGTAAGTTCGAGCCTTTTTAACAAATTTGAATCTATTAACATTTAGTTATTACTACATCGTGATTGTTGTAACTTATACCTAAGCAGAGTTCAAATCTCACCATTAATCTTAATATCGCCTTGCTTCCGTTTATCGCTCAATCTATTATACCCAAAAAAAAAGGAGGGGGCGAACACCCAGTCTTCTATTTCATCTATTTTGTTTTTTTATAACCACGGTGTTTGGGTTAAGTTGCGCGCACCTCAACTAATTTCACGGAATATCTGCCACCTTTCTCCAGCATCAAGTACTAGGTAACTCTATCCAATACTATGTGTTTGTGTAGATGTCCACGTGTATTTACACATTGCATGATTATGACCAATAGACATAATGTCCCAATAAGAAAAGAAAAGAGGAAACAGGACACTATGACCACTTACAATTTGACTCGTGCTCAGTACATTTTAAATTGATTATTTAGAAAAAATGGAAGTATTACTGCTTTATATCGATCGCTAATTTCATTTTAAGTTGACTAATATTTAGAAAGGGGGAAATGGAAGTATGAATTGCTTTATATCGCCTGGAAGCATATAGCCTATAGGTTGCATAAGGTACCCTTTTAAAAATTGAAATATAGAGATGAATTGAGCAAGCCCGTCCGTTTTCATATTTTTGGTATGCTATACAGACTGGATGAATTTAAACAATAATGATATTAAAATTCAATTTTGGAACAAGTAAGATGTCTGAATTATATCTATATGCCCTCGGCCTACCAAACTGTAACATGTATGGAGATAATTTATCCAAGAACACTTTTAACTCAAAGAGATACAAGCAATAAATATGTCAAAGTGTTAACCTATCCCTTTCAAATGAAAGAAAAACCTCTCATGCATGCTAACACATTATAACACATAGTCAATTTACCATGAACTGGATCAGGAAAGAATTTCTTATTTCCCAAGGTATTTCCAAACCAATAAAAACTTTTTGTCCTGTGGCTTTTATCTCCTATGTAACAAAAACCTCAGAGTCAACACATAACATAGTATACAGAATATCTTATAGATGAATGGCTACTTCTAAAAAAAAATGGAACTGGCTGTTGATAGAGATCTAATTGTACTACAAAATTTGGAAGCTAGCTCTTTGGTAAGTTAAAGGCTATCCGGTTAGTATGAATGCCTGAAGGAGGCTCTGAGCAGCCTGTGTTTCATCTGGTGTCCCAGAGATTACGATAGTCCTGTCAGTTGTTCCAGAGCGGGCCTCGTGTACCATGACCTTTGCACCTGAAATCTGATTTAGAGCAGCGGAAAGATTAAACGCCGGAGAGAAAAATGAAAGACATACAAGATTAAAAGGAGTTTATCATGGTTCATCTCTTTATTGCTTTCTCATGTTCTTAACTAAGAAGGTAAAGTTTTCACCTATCCTGTGCACTTTCCACTACACCAATTAGTAGGTAAAACCGTAAAAGGCTAACATACCTGTCTTAGACGAGCCAAGTTGCTCCCGTTCTCCCCATACACAGAGCTGATAACATTTTCAGGAACCAAGATCTCCACAGTAGTATTGGTCACAATGGCAGTTCTGCTTCCACTGCAAGCAATAGCAAAAATGCAACAAGTCGATGAATACAACCAAGAAATTTCTACTTGGGGTTTGAGATAATCTTAGATGCTCTTTTCATCAAGTCTATAATGACTATTTGGAAAATAAAGGCAGGGAAAACTTTCATAAAAACCATGTTACAGGGAGTCCACCCTCATAATTAGGTCCTATCACATGTGAAAAAGCATTAAGTGCTTGTGAAGTAGTGCAAGACACCAACCATCCAAGTTCTATGCCGCCTTTAACTGAATTAGATCCTTTGCTGACATCAAAGGCACCTCTTTGGTTTCCTCCAGGTCGTGTCTAATAGCCAAAGCCACCGAAAATGTTTGAAAATTAGTCAGTGAAGATTTATTAAATTAAAGGGAAAATTAAGCATTCAGCAGTTCACCTGCGATGACCACTGTCCTGGTGATGGGGGATGATCTATGTTGTTGGAAAGTACAAGGTTATCCATAGACCGTGTTAAATCAGGATGCTGATTGATACCATGTGAGACACCACTAGACCGATGAAATCCAAAAGGAGGTTCCTTCATTTGGCCAGAGAGACTACTTTCAGACGCCAGCGCAGAGCTGTTTCTGCTTACAGCACCATTTGACACCTTCGCTGCCAAGAGGTTATCACGCAACCGACCAGTGACATTTCGTAAAGCATCTTGTACATTTACAAACTCACCTGCAATCTAAACAATATAATCTCAGTGCAACAGAAACACCAAAATGTTCTGATCTCCTATAGATTGATTTGAATAGATGTGGAAACCCACACGAGTGAAAGTAAGTGTCTGATAATTTTCAAATAATCTAATCCAAAGATGAATTCTCCACAAGAAAGGACATATCAGTAATCTCCCTTCAATAAATATGAAGAGAAACAGATATTTAGGAGCTCACTTTCAATCTTTAAACCTTTTTTCTTTATCAAAAAAATCTTTAAACCTTTTCTTTTTGATAGGGAAACCTGGACAGATTTCACCATAAATGGAGAAAAGATGCTTTTGAATTGGTAATTCATATTCCAATAACCAAGTAGGAATATTCTGAAATTGTAGAACTTCTTAAGCACCAACTATTGCTTCACTATAAACCATGTTATGAATTGTAGATCAGCAATCTCCAGCGAAAAGATTAACAAAGACAAAGCTGCGACTCGTGATGACCTTGACATCGTCTACTAAGCACCAACCGATATATTGATGTTAGCCTTTTGCACCCACTTAGCTTTAAGCATAGTTGCCAATATTAATGAGCCTAAGGCTTTATATATTGTGTAACCTAAAAAGTGCATTACCCTAACATTACCACAAATAGTATATGCCACTCGAAGTAAATGCACCAGTTCAGACCAGTGCATATCCTGAATATTTGGTCAGATACCATATATAATCAATTAAGTAACTAGCTGATACAACTCATTCGCATTTGAAAAACACCATTCTAAATAATTCAAGTAAAACTGACAGAAGATTGCTATGCATGACTGAGAATTAAAACGTGAGCAAGTCATGTGATTTAATCAATACTCTTTCTTTGACGGATTGCAGGACCATATGCAGCAGGGACATGAGTCAAACCTAGATGAACTATAACAAAAATCGTGATAATCATGATAAGGACAATTAATCTTTTTATCCAAAACAGGACTGTGTACTCTTAAAAGGCCAGGTGTGCGACAGAGAGCTGTGCCTAGACGTGTATTAGCTTCCTAGGTTGAGCAGTCTCAATTTTACTACTGGATTTCTCAATAGATGTTGGGCTGGGCCACATCGAACGGCGTGAGCTGCATTTGAGGAGATCCACAATACAGTTTTTAAGGGAATCTATCGAAATACAGACCGGCACCCACCCGACTAGAGGGACTGAGAATTAATTGGTTACAAAACTAATCTGGTCACTAATGAAGTCCTTCGTTTCTTTCAAAGGTGCTGACCCACAGTGAGGTAGAGACTAAATTACTTTCAAATATTCAGTGCAACTGTCAGGCTTGAAATAAATAGCAGATTTTTTATGGCAATAGCAGAAACGTTCATAGCCTTAAACTAAGATGTGTTTTGCGCTTGCTTTTTGGTGCAACCTAGTTATTGTACAAGATATAGATGCAATACTAGACACAATAGAGAAATTATACTTTCTGTAATTACGCTTAATGTGCTTGCTTATAACAGGTATCTATAAAATTTCTAACACAACAACAACAACAACAAACCCTGCTTAATCCCGTATCTATAAAATTTCTAATTACTTATCAAAATAAAAATTTGGTAGATTTGCAAAAGTATTTATATAAAGTTGAAGCTAGAAAGGCAAAAGGCTGAACAATCTCACCTGCACAACTTCATCATTGTCTGAGACACACTTAGGGACTTGGTCACCTCTAAATATTCGTATGCTGGAACCTGTCTCCTTCCTTATCTCTGAAATTATTGCGCCTCCCTTCCCCAATAAACAACCAACTTGATTGGATGGCACCACAAGTCGAAAAGTAATTAGTGATCTTGTGCCCAAATTCATCCCAGAGCCAGCGTCCAGAATCCGATCAAAAACAAGAACGACAGCGGTTTGTGCTGGAGATTTCCGTAATTCTAGGTTCTAGATAAAAAGAAAACTAAATCACTTGACACACAAAATACCTTTCAAAAAATACGCAAGACTAAAGAAAACCCAACTAACCTCTAATGCGGTAATAGTTATCACTCGCTCGTTGCACTCAACGACATTTGGCCCAACAGCGATGCTAGCACCGCTGTCATTCTGAAGAGTCCTTACAATTGCCCCACCCTTGCCAATTATTGCACCAACCTTTTCATTTGGGCAGAGAATCCTGAAAGCAACCTCTTGTAATGGTATTTTTGCATCAATGTTGGAAAACCTCTCAGCATCTACAGACACAGGATGGAATCCAGAGGCACCTGAGAAAGAGCTTGTGGTTATGGGCTGTGACATTGAACTCCTTTGTGCAGGTAGATCAACTTGCCGAGGAGGCAAAGTCTGTTCCGAATCTAACTCAAGTGGCGCATTCTCAACCGTTCTACTTCTTTCAACAGAGAAACAATCTTGAAGTCGGCGACTGACAGCAACAAGTGCTTTCTTAACAGCCAGAATGTCCCCTTCTATCTGGCCATTAACAACCAATTCACACATCAGAAATCTTCTGTCATATTCATTGTGCCGCTACTATTAAGTTAAAGAAACTCAAAGTATAACATAGAATTTCTTGATAAATTGTGCATAAGTACAGAGCTAGAAGTTTAAGTTTTTGCATTAAGGCTTTCAAAAAATTCCTATGCATTTACAGTTTCACTGAGGTCCCGCCACTCACTTCTGGTGAACAATTGTTGCAATTAATAGGGGTCATGACAGCAGGAATTATAACATACAAAAACGGGATAATTCTGAAGGAGTAGCTCCACCAAAATTTGACAAGCCTTTAAGACTTCATTATTAATGCTTCTGCACTCTGCAGCTCCACTACAATCTAAAATCAATCTCGCTGATGATTTGCACTATCTCAAGCTCATAACTTGATTCTTCAAGAAAGAAGGGTGAAAAGAAGAGAGGGAGGGAGAGAGAGAGAGAGAGAGAGAAGAAAGGCAATGCCACTGCGTGCTACTTGGCAATACAAATTTGGTCTGCGAACAAGTTATACATGGATTATAATGCAAGATATTAATTGTAATAAAATGAAAAGCAGCAACTAAACTATATCTGTGGTATCCGGACCTTGTGCGCTGTTGGATATCTGGACTTCGTATCAAAAGCTAAAAATTGTATTTGGTTTTAAAGGATGAAGATTTTTTCAGAATTATGCTCTTAGACTATAGAACAAACTTTATGCTATCTAGTATTAGTCTTGTAAAGGCATGTGATAACAAAATAATTAGCTTAATATAATTGAAATTAAATAAAGAAATAACTACTAACTTTTATTATCCCAAAGATAGCACTTCAAGGATAGTTAAAATGCGATTCACCAAAATATAAGATAAGTAAACTCTTTTATAACATGACATTTTTCAAGCACTTGCTTTTCTAACCAGCTTATGTTAAACTTAAAATACTTTTCCTTACAATTCAAAAATCAATAATACAAACATTTTCACAAAAAAAAAAAAAAAAAAAGAGGTACTAATCAGTAAGAGATGGTTAAGTAAACACAGCTTAAAGGGCATTTGCACTATTTTATTGATCTAAATTTGCTAATGTGTACTGTTATTACGGCAGAGTTGCAGGGGTTATATTTATAAGGGAAGCAAGGTACGAAATGTTGAGATCATTTCCTCCTATACATCAAATCGAACAAGCCCTAATGACATCCCAAGATTATCAAGACAATTCACTTACAATCACAACTATAAAATCAGCACCCAAGGGTGCAAAAAACACTGGGTGGTTTCTCTCCATCTATCCAAGCCTTGGTGGATAGAATTACCTGGTACCTGTTGCCGATGGGACGCAGCAGGTAATTCGTGGAATTAGTCGAGGTGCACGCAAGCTAGCCCAAACACCACGGTTATCAAAAAAAAATTACGATTATAAAATCAGGTATCAATAGAACACCTTGTTGCTGTTAGCCTAAACAAGTAAAGTTTAGAACTTTAACTAGAAAACCGAAGTTGTTAAGCCTTAAATATAATTGCAATATATTAATTACCTCAACTATTTCATCATTGGGCGAAGCACAAGATGGCAACTTATCTGAAGTTAAAACCTTAATCCTACATCCATTCTCTCTTCTTATTGCATCAATTACTTTTCCACCTTTACCCATCAGAGCACCCACCTGATTCCCCTTCACTAATAATCTACACGACACCACACTCTCCGCACCCAAAACAACGCCATTATTTTCAGCTGTTACATCTATAACTCTTTCGAAAACCCTAACGAGTGCCTCTTGTGCAGCCGAAACCTCAATCTCATCATTCCACTGCTGCTCATCCCCCCCGGTGGGGCCCAAGAGATTGAGCCTAATCTTCTTGTTTAGGGAAGCGGAGGCTACGACGACGATGAGGCGGTGGTGGTCGGAGTTGGGAGTGGAGACATCAACGTGAATCTTCGCGGAGGTATCTTGTTGGAGTTGTCGGATGATGGAACCTGATTTTCCGATGACTCCTCCGACGCGGGAAGCATGGCAGAGGAGCCGGAACACGACACGTCTAGGTAGCGGTGAATTGTTGTTGTTGGCGGCGGGTACGGTGGTGGTGGAGTGGGGGGCGGCGACGAGGTTGGGTTCGTGCATTAGTGAAGTAGCTGTAGGAATTTTCTTTGTTGATAGAGAAAAGAGTAGAGCCCTATGTTTAGGTTGTAGTGAGTCCCTTTTTTAACCAATTATTGGACTGATTCGTGGACTTCTGTTCTGTTGGATAGTATTGACTTCCAACTTTTATTACACATTTTAGGAAAAAGAAAATTGACATTACTTTTTGTTCTTTTATTTTGGGATTTAAACTTTGTAATGATGCAACTACTATAGGACATCCGATCAAAAAGAATTTTAAGTTCATACGTTTATTATTTCAAAGTTGTGTTTTGTATTTTTATAGTAAATAACTATTTAATGCTATTCTTAAAATAATTAATTATAAATCGCTAAAGGTCCTTTATCCTTTTCCTATAAATTTTGAAAATTAATATTATGCCGATACTTTATCCTCTAAATAAATAGAGATGAACTTGTTCTAATCTTGGGGAAACATTTCACATTGCTGAAATAGTTTGTTAGGACAGTGCCTAGCACGACTCAAGCCAATTAGTATATCTGCTTACAAATAATATTATTGCAGTATTATTATCGTTATTTTTCGGTATCATTTCCCTACAATATAAGAAACTATGACAAGTAATACTACTGCCGGATTTTCTTTTTTTTTTCTTTTTTCTTTTACACTACTCATGTGTAAAGAAAGAACAGAGGCGTAAGAGAGAGAAGAATTAGAAATAGGAAGCATTTCTGTTGCATCATCATTAGGGAATGAGTGCCTATTTAAAATAAATAATGCAATTACCTCTCACGAGGAACTGAGAAGGAGTAAAGGCCTAGGAAAGAATATTTTTCTTATGGAAATAATTTTCAGAATTTTCTTGTCGATAATGAACCATCAAATTATTTTGAAGCTATATCTTCTTCAGAAGCTAATTATTGGAAAGAGGCAATAAAAATTGAAATTGATTCTATTATTAAAAATAATACATGGATTTTAACTGATCTCAATGTATAAACACAGGAGGCAATACGTACTATATTAAAGGGATATTAACTAAGAAGTTTCTTATCCACTCAGCCTCAGAATCAGCTAACTCCAGAGCTACAAACTCTGATTCTGGTCGATCTAGCAATGATCGTATGTTTAGTTGATTTTCACGATATTGCACCACCACAAAAGGTGAATACATAACCATTAGTGGATTTTGTTTCATCTGAATCATAGATCCAGTTTGCATCACTGTACCTTTCTAAACTAGAAGGAAATCCATTATATAGGATACCCTAATTCATGGTTCCTCTCAAATATTTCATTAGTCTATCCAATGCAGATCAATGCTCTCTGTTGGGATTATGAGTATATCTACTCAGTCTACACACAGCATAGGCTATATCAGGCCTTGTAAAATTCATTAAATGCACCAGACTCCCAATAATCTGCGCATATTTATAAGCACATAATTTTTTACCCGCGCAAATTTTAAAGTTAGTTTTAGTATTTTAATATTCTTAAAATAACTACTTGGGTTATTATACAATTTTAGTCTATTTTACTTTTAATTTTAAATCATAAATTTAAAAACACAAAAATTATTTCAATTGGTCTTATTATATATATATATATATATGTTTGTTTTTATTTTTATTTATTTAAGTTCATTAGTATTGTTACAGTAGTATTATCTTAAGTTTTCCATGATTTTTATATTCCTTTTTAGTATAATCTTTGAAAAAATACAAAAAATAATTTCGTTGTAATTCCATTTTAGTTAAAGTCAATTGTTAATTCCTTAGAAAAGAAGAATGAATTTTGGGCCAATTTTGTGTCTTGATAGGTCCAATTTTTGGCCCAAACCTCCCTTAGCCCACAATTAATTTCCATTCCCATACAAATACCTAAAGAACACACAAAGAGAGGAGCCTAGCGGAATCCTAGAGAGACGCACGCACACACAGCCGCACACCTACCTCTCTCTTCACTCTCACCCTCTCAAATCTGCTCCATCTCCAACGCCAGCAACCCCCACCTCCAGCCATCACTCCCTAGCTCCGAACGAGATCAGCCGCCACCCCCGACACCCAGCTCGCCGGAAAACGAGCAGCAGCAGCCGCACCATCTCCTCACACCCTCAGACAACGAACCAGGCCTCCTTCTTCACGTCTATCGCTGCCACAACAACCATATGTTGCTGTTTCCACCTTGCAAATCGACGCCGGAAAAGTTTCTGGTGGTAACAGAGAGCCGCTAATCCTAGGAAATTTTCACGGTTGTTAACTTCGAAAAAAACAAAACACAAACATTTCAGCTTCTTTCTCCCTGATTCTGGCTCTCAACTATGGAGTTTGATTGAGTGAAGTTTTTCGTGAGCCGAGGTTGCCGTTTGTTGGTTCCGATCTAAGGTTATTGTTGCCGTCCATTTTTCCAGTTAAGTTCGCGTTGCCGGGATTCGACGTTGCTGTAAACAAATTGGAGGTTCTCCTTGTTAATGGAAGAAAGCTTTCTTTGAGGTATATTATTCTTACTTTGCTACTAATTTCATGGGTTTGGATCTCAGCTCATAACTCTACTCTTTCCCTGCTCTTTTTTTTTTTTGATTTCTCATATGATGGTCTAATTTGTTTGTTCACCTTGCTTTAATCGTTGCTCTATGATTAATTTTTAATTCCTTTTGTTTCCTGTTCTCTTAGACTCGTCTAAGTTGGGATCCTCATTTGAATTTTAACTGAAAACAATTTGTGGATTTTGTCTTGCCCTTAGGAACTTGCTGTTCTCATTGCATTTTGTATACATTTCTGGATTGAATTTGACTGACACCAACACGACATGTCATCATGAAGTATATTAATCCATGCAGGCTATATTCCTAGTTCTTAGCTGATTTCTTGAACCATTAGTCCATCACTAAGTTTTTTTAAGAAAAATAATGCATTAAGGATTTCGGGATTGAGCGAGTCATGAAAATCTCAAGTGGCTTTTTCTGGTTTTGATCCATGTTAGCTATGGATTTTAGCATTTTCGTTGTTTTGAGCGTGGGGTTGACAACAAGAATGAAGATTGAATTTATCATGTTAATTATTTTACTTTATTTGTTTGGATTGCTAGTAGCATGTTTAGGCCGTCAACACACAGGTAGGCAAACTTTAGGTCTTTTCCATTTGTTCGAGGTGAGAGGTCGTTCCCTTTAGTCATATTCAGGGGAATGCCCCGTAGATTCTGTATATATTTTTATTCAGGGGTATGCCCCGAAGTGAATGTAAATGGAGGCCGTGGCATCATCGTTGGAGGCACAAGATAGGATAGTAAGGCTTATTTTATTTTATTTTGTTTTCTTTTATTAGGTGGGGACGACCTCGAGCCTCTTTTATGTTTACTTTCTTTTTTTTGTGTTTTAACCTCACTTCGAATATTTTAAAATCCAACTAGATCAAGTACGCAACCGTAATTTTCACGGGACTTGGGGAATGCCTAACACCTTCTCCCCGAGTCAAATGAACCGCTTACTTGAATCTCTGGTGCAGACTTAGTTTTGGAGTCCAAAGTGTTCTAAAAGGGAAAATTATTTTTTAACGGTGACCTGACACACCGAAATTAAATGTCAGGTGGTGACTTTGAAAATCATTTGAACACAAATTTTTGTCACTTTTCGATTTTGAAAACCCTTTCGAGCTTCAAAAATCACTTTTATTATTTTAAAGAGGGTTAGGTGAGGTTAAAAAAAAGGGATGTGACTGCTCTGGCGACTCTGCTGGGAAGTTGCAGGTTCGAGCTGATACTGTGATCTTGTTGGCTTTTTAGAATATTCGGTTGAGGTTTTTATGTTTTTTTTATTTGCTTTATTTGATTTTTATTTTGTTTGTGTTGTTTTATTATTTGCCAGTTGTTTATGTGTTTATAGTTTTTTCTTTATGTGTTACTGCTTTATAACTGTCATCGTTTGCATAACCTCGAGTCAGTTCTTTCTGCAACAAGTCTCGGAGTACGCGTGGTGTACACGAACTCTTTGTTGAGTCACCCTTATTTTAGGAGGGGGACCGTGTCACGACCCTAAAACCGACCCGGTCGTGATGGCGCCAATAGTGAAACTAGGCCAGCTGACACAAATTCCAAATCAAACCAGTATTTCATAAAAGACATTCTAAGCTATTAATTAATGAAATCTCATAACATGAGTCTAAATAACAAGTGCGGAAAATAACACAAGCCCAACATTGGGGTGTCACAAGTCACGAGCATCGACAAGGTCTGTCTAAGTATAATAAAGACTATCATAGTCCGAAAATAGAGATACTAAAAATAGTATAAGGAAGATATGAGGGAGAAGTGCAAGGCTGCGAACGCCATGCAACTACCTTGCCGACTCCGAAAGACCCGCTGGATGAACGATCAGCGCTCGCTATCACGGCCCGCAACTCTTGAATCTGCACACAAGGTGCAGGGAGTAATGTGAGTACGCCAACTCAGTAAGTAATAAAAGTAAATGAAAACTGAGCAGTAAAAAATCAGATAATTCCACTTCATAGCACTACAGTAAGTACAGAACGTTTCCAAAACAGTATAGAAATCATGTATCTCATTTAAAATCCAATTTCAGTAAAAATTCTTTGAAAATGTCGTTCTAACTGTTTCAACAGAGGATCAATGAAGTTTAGAGTAAAAATGATGAAAGTCATAAATAGCCCCTCGGGCAAGACATGTATCATAGACCGCCCATCGTGCATAATATTAATAGAACCAGCCCCTCGGGCTACCTCACAATCACTCGTAATCAGCCCCTCGGGCACAACATGTATCAGGATCAGCCCCTCGGGCAAAACATATCACTCACTCTGGGTACCCGCGCTCACCGGGGGTGTACAGACTCCGGAGGGGCTCCTACAGCCCAAGCGCTATCACAAGTCATCTCGTGGCATAATAAATCAGGCCCTCGGCCTATCATATATCACAAAATAGTACAACATGCTACGGCGCGCAACCCAATCCATGATATCCTCACAACACAGACCCTCGGCCTTGCTCAGTCAGAAACCTCTCAAGCCACTCGGGCTAACAGTAAAACAGGGTGCTCAGCCCAAAATATTATTTATGCATCTCATCGGAGTAAATAAGACTGAGTTATG